GAAACGATCTTGGTATACATTGTACTCATCTGCTCATCAGGAACATGTGAACTGCCACTTTGCTTTCACCTCTTCCCTTATCACACAAATGAAAAAAGCAGCTGTACTCTAGATACTTCCCTCAGCCTTCCATATCAACCAGTTTTCAAAAACATACTTTCTTTTTCTTTCAACATGATCTTGTCAGAACGGTTGCCCAAACTACTTTTCTACATTTATCACATCCTTCACCACTACATTTATTCATCCAGCTCGACGTAGGCATAGAATCCCTTAAAAAATCCTACAGGTCATCCACTGTAATTTCAAAAACTACTATCCTGGCTGTAGCACTTAATGACTCAGAAATCCTAAAGCCCCATGATGTCCCATAAGTCTGTATCTTTATTTAAACCTAGTTAACAATTACTCCATAAAATTACTACCAAACTGTCTTGACTTGAGCTATAACTGCTAAAGCAACCAACCTTGACCTGACCTTAAACTGATGATGCTTAAAATCTCACCACCCGTTTAAATTAAACAATATAGCAAAAGCGAGTTCAACATGAGTAACAGGCAACCAGAGTGTAGCTCTCAGATAACGATAGTTTTTAAAAACATTATCCAAAGACTAGTTTTTAAAAACCGCTTTAAAAAAACCTACGAAAAAGTAGCTGACCGTTCCAAGCATTAAACAAGGCTTCTGGACACTTCATTGAGAAAACAAAACAGCTTTCATTAAGACACCCGATTTCCAAAGTTATTAAAACACTCATTTACAAGCACTGTATCACCACTTTTATAACAAAATATTATAAGAAACTAATATATAACAAAAACGATTTCATCAGTTGTGATAACGTCTAAGAACGAAACTGTCTTAGCAAGAAATAATTTTGTGCACAGAATTCACGATGAACTCTGGTAAACACTGTGAGAGACGACCTGCGAACAATACCCCTGCATCGTTTCAGGAAGCAAAGGCCTTTCTTCTAAGTCCTGGTACTCAACAGTCATTTGAGTCTGCATCTAAATTGAATCACGAACATAATATGCGCAACACATTACTATTATTCTTATTCTTCTTCTTC